TATGCATTAACACATATTGTCCTGAGTTTAACAGAGTAGTGAAGCAAATGCTTAACTATTTGTTCCTGCCCAAGCCTGAAATCTGGGGACGCTTGGCCTRAACAGGAGCAGCGTGTAGGGTACAACCTAGGCATTAGTAGGATGACATAAAGGGTCATCTCATCAATGGAGGAGTCAAGGGCCCCTTGCTTGACAACRTATCAGACATGAGGGAGGAAAAGGGAATGCAGGTGAAGGTGGAGGAGCTTAGCAGGCAGTGTGTGAGTGAGGAAGCAGGTAAAGGGATCTGGTAGAAGCCAAGAGAGAATGAGAAGACAATCTTAATGTGAAATCAGCAAGCTATGTATGTGTCTGATAKGTGTTTTGTCCCTTGCCTTCTCTGCATCGCTGTTGGTGTGTTGTTTCTAAATAAGAAGGTAGGACAGCATTTGGACATGCTCTCAGGCACATGGTGTGACTCCTGGGGATGTCTTCTGCAGGGCTGAATTGGATTCAATGATCCTGGTGGGTCTCTTCCATCTCTTCTGTGATTCTGTGTTTGGGAAAGGACAGTGGGCAATAGCAATGATGAGCCATTGGTTTTCAGATGACACCTCTGGATGTTGGAAGTRCTATTAACTAATGCAATTATCTTGGCTTATTATTACTGCTAAAATCCATCACTGCTATTCAACATGCAGTTGAGTTTTTAATTAATTTTTTTAATGAAGTGGGAAAATACAGTATATGAAAATTTTCACCAGTTCCACTAGACTTTCTAGAAAACTGCACGTAATAAGTGTTCTGATGAACSAAATGAGAATGTGACTAAATCACTTTTGCAGAGGCAAGATATGGAAACCTTCATCAAACGATTTAAAGCAGATCTTTATCATTGTGCGGGCTTCATCCAGCATCCCAGAAAACTGAAAAATGGTGTCCGTGAGCTCTACAGCAAGTATGTGCATCAATCAGACCTGGTGAGTCAGGACCTTTGCCTTCTCCTTGCCCATGACTTTGTCTGGTAGTAGAATTACTGAGGCAACATGYTGTGCCCTCTCAGGAGCAGGTTCAAGCAGTAGATGCAGATCTGCAGCAGCAGTACATGAAACAGCAAGAGCGTCATGACAGGAACTTGGAAATTTTAAGGAAGAAGGTGATGAAGGATAAGGAAATGGACCAAGCTGCTTACCTGCGCATCATCCAGGTAAATGGATGATAAACCTTCTCCTTGTGCTGTGGAGGGGGAACAGAGGGAGTGGCTGCACAAGAGAGACTTTCATAGCCTTACCGTTATGGTTTCTAGGGACTTGGAAATAGTTTTGGCTGGCTTTCATGCCAGAAATGACTACATTTCTCAAGTGCTTCCATTAAATTTTCTGAACAAAAATGTCAAGATCTCTGAAGTCAGAAATGGCTGCTGTTTTGTGGAATCTTTTGTTTGTCTCCCACTCCCTAAAAGGAGATAGGGAACTTCTCCTGCATATATGTTTTTAAGGAAATTAATGTACTTATTTTTTATTTCAAACAGTATTTATAATTGCCATCAYAGTCAATTTGCCCTTGTTTGGGTGTTAAGCTGTATCTGCTATGTGGTAGTGTTTAGGCAGTAATTTTGGGGGAARAAAAGAAAAAACAACTGACTTTCTTTGTCCGCATAATCCTACCGGTCTGAATTCAGAAGAACTTTCTGCTTTTCACATCCAAATTTTTCAAGGAAGTTCAGAAATACATGGAGAATATGCTTATTCCTACTAAGATTTCTTGCTCAGAATCCTTATTTCCTATAAAGCAAGGAAAACTCGTGACTGCTGGGGTCAAAGATCCAATTTGTTTTCATCTGGAGTGGGAGAACGTAGAGCCCCACACCAGACATCCTAGGAGGACAGCTTTTCTAGTCTCTTCTTACTTTCATCTCCTTCTGCTCAGTCAGCATTTCCTTTTCCCCTCACTTGCCCATTCTCCATTATTATGCTTCCTCRGGATCATTAAATCTCAATCCCCTCCTAAGTCATCTGTTGTTTGCCATTTATTCATAATTTGCTTCTTCAGGGCTAGACAGCAGCAATCTTCTTTCCCTGCCCATATTTTAATTGTTTTTACTCTTTCTGTGACTTAGATGTATCYTTTGGCACAAAAGGAGATGGCTTCAGAAAATAACCTGAAGAATTTCCTTGCTGAAATAGGATGACAGATGGTGTTCATAATGATAATATTTGATGTCTTGGATCAGTAAGCCTAACATGAAATGATGATTAAAACCAAATTAATAAAACATCTGGAAGATGAAGATATCAAAGATTCTAACCAGCCTGGTTTCTTCAAAGAAAAAGCAGTTCTCTGAAGTCCAGTAGATTAATGAGATTTTACAGCCAGCAGGAATTATCATGGTCTTCCAGTTTTTCACAGGGGGCTTTTTAAGACTAGTTTAGACAAACTTCTATCAGGATTTGCTTTGAAAACGCAAATGACATTTTGACAGTCTTCTAGCTCTGTATTTCTATTATTCCTCAGTTGCGTTTACATTTTCAGAGCTATGCCTTCCTCTTTGAGAGATTATTCATAGGTACATTTCACTGGTGACTGCTGCAACAGATGATTAGAACTGTCAAGATAATTTTAATTATTCTTACCAGCTGACAAGTTGCCTGTTATTCAACTATTAGTTTTCCCTCCAGCCTTCTGTATTCGTAATGGATTTTTTGGATACATAAAAACAGAGACACTGAATTATCTTGAGTTAGTGCTGCTTACACTGAAGCCCATAGGGGATGAACTTTTCTATGTGTTGTACCTGTCCTCCGTAGGGATTTCCTAGGCTGTAGATTGTATCCATATCACATGCAGTTGTACCTGATGGCCTCATCATCCATGCATTTGATCAGTCCCTGTTCTGAAACAATCAGTTCTTTGCCACAACATCCTGTGACAATGAATTTTCCCATGAACGTTTACTTTAATCCATTCTSTGACAGTGCATTGCGGTGCAAACATTCTGTCAGAATGTAAATATTGAATCAAAGGCTAATCTCTCTGGAGAAAAGGTCCCTTCAGAAAAGTATTATCAGTGTCAACCAACAGCCTTTTAGCACCAAGCAAACCAAACAAGACATTTCTACATAGCCCAGATTGCCTCATACAAGATACTCTGGTTTATATTTTCTGATAGACCAAAAGCAAGATCTTCTTGATAGCAGCAGGCGATTGCTTGGACTGAACCTGTGAAGGTGCTCCTGACTAATGTGCACCTTAACAGAAATGTTGTGACCCAACCCYGAAAGATGATCAAAAGAAAATTATCTTGACTCATCATTGGAAGTTACTCTCTTCATGTGTTCTTCAGGATCAAGCTCTGGAATAAATGCAYAAAATCAAATTTCATCTGTGTTCAAAGGCTTGAATTAAAAAGTCAGACTCAACAAAATATTACCATTTCAGAGGAGGCTCCTGAGCACACCAACTCCTGCTGCATTTAGAGTCCAACAGAACCACTGCAAGAACCACTGCACTTCTTGCCCAACAAGTTCAGATCTTAATGAATCCCCCAATCTTCCTGCAGTCAGTGATTTTCAGCTGAGGGGAAACTAAAGCACAGCAACTGTACTTGCCTGAGTGTGAAATGTTGATAACCTTGCCACACGTGYCCTGAGCTATTGCTGCCAAGTTGAACTCCTTAAGTGCAGCCACASAGAGAAAGGTGCAGTGAGCTTTGCACTTTGTTACTGATAGTTTGCAGTTGTGTGCTGCCAATACTTTTATAAGCATACCCAAAGGAACTGAGTCATATGCTTTGCACAATCTTTTATAGCAATGTAATTATCTCTATTAAGCAAAATTATCATTAAAAAGAAAAATAAAAAACAAGATTTGAGACATCATTCTAATGGAAAAATTTCATTAATCCTTGTTCTTATCTCCTGTTGTTTTATTGGGTTCCCTACTGCTTGAGACTGGTATCATGTGAGGTACCCTAAGCATGCCTTTTTGTCCTCTATCTTTTTTTAACATTGCCACGTAGGATGAATATCACTTAGGGGCTGGAATGGTGCTGTGTTCTAAAAGTTTAAAAAAACCACCACAGGTAGCTGAAATAGTTGCTATTCTTGGTTCAAATATGATGGCATGTGTTTAACAGTTGCCCTAGTTATTGATGTGGTAAGGTATTTCACTGTCCTTAAGATGCGGGTGTACAATTCCACTTTGCTGCCTTGAATAGAAGAGAAATATTTAGTTAATCATGGTCCTGTTTCTGGGTCATGAGCAGCAGTTTTATCATCCTTCACTAGTGTTAGTCCATACTGGTTTTGCTGAAGTCTTTGAACCTGTTGCAGRAATGGGTAAATTATATTTACTGGCACTTTCACAGCTCCTTCAAGATGCTTCATGGCAGGCTACTAAAAAAATTAGAGGATTGAACTTTTATGGCCTGAAAACTGATTGAAAAAAGAACAAAAGATGAATACATGGCTTTTCCTTAATAGGAATGTTATAACTTTTCCTTATAACAGCATGTTAGCAGTAGGTATCTCAAGTCTCCACATGCTTTATACATTTCCTAATAATTTGGAAGGAGTGTGGAAAAGTGATGTCTGTCAGAACTGATGAAGAGGGCTTTGAATAATTGCAAGGAGATAAAGATAATTTAAGTGAACAAATACACAGTGACAAATGAAAAGCAAAATAATGTACACTAGAGGGAGAGATGGGAAATCTTCACATTAATTCTGAATTAATTGGTTCAATTTAGGAAGGCCCTGAGCATCCCTTCGGAATTGGCAAGGAAGATGATACCTTGAAGTGCAGCTACAGTCAGAAAAGCAAACCAAATATTTGTTTTTTGAGCCAACGTGGTTTGAATACTGTCATGTTCTGTGTCACATCTACCGTGGTCTTACCAGAAATGTTGTGTACACTAGTGATTGCCTGGTACCTTCTGCTTGTGATAGTGATTCTGTACTGTCCAGTGTCTGTCCCAAAGATGTGAAGATACAGATTGCTCAGCCAGGTAGTATCTGTGCTTTTCCTTATAGAGCATGTTGTTTTTGCAGGAAAATGTGAGTCTGATTAAGGAAATTAATGACTTGCGGCAAGAACTGAGGGTGGCCCATGCCCACGTGCACAGGCTCCAGTCAGCACTGGCACTAAACAAGAAAAAGGAAGTTCAAGACACAGGTGAATAGTTCTTGTATATTTTCCATATTGTCAGTACTCGTTACAGAAGCCGTTTTTGTCCTTGGTGAACAATTMTATTACTATGTTTCATTTTAGCTTGTCTGCCTGGTGGTACCTGTTATATTTTAATGTTTATTGTAGAAGCTGATGAATCCTGCAGCTTCTGACTATTTATTTCTTCTCCTTCAGTCCTGAAAGATGCCTTCCCTTGTTCAYGCTAAAGAACTGTATGAGCTGGACCTTTGTTACTGTGCTGTATCCTCTCTATTTTATGTTTTAGCTCCCTCCAGTGAACCTCTGTCCAGCCCATCTATCCTGAGGTTGAATCCAGAGATGGAAAGTGAGAAAATCATAGAAATGCAGCAGCTAGAAATTCACTATCTGCGAGACCAAATCCAAGTCCTKACCTGCCCAGGTTCAGCCTCTTTTGATGAAAAATCTTCCTGAACTGAATCTGGAAAGAAGCCACAAAACACAGCAACACTGACATGGTTCAAGGATGCCTTATGTTACTATATCCTCCTAGCAAGATGAGAAATGCAACAGCAGAGATTAGACTTACATGACCCTATACTCTTCCACTAGAAGCATTTGTGCAACAATCAGTGATCTGAACACTTCTACTTTCCTGAAATCGACTTTTTCATGAGTCTTAGGAACCAAGAGAAAAAAAAATAAATTTGTGTTAGTGCAAGATTAATCTTTTTGCCTTCATGCTAGGGCAGGTACTCATCTTTCTCTTGAAAATGAATGTGTCTTAATTCAGAAGAGCTGATGAAACTCTGTAAGCCTTTTCTGCTAGAATTCTAATTTGGTGTCATTGTGCTGAAAGTTTCATCAGCCTTTTATTTTCCAGTATTAAATTGCCTATGTCCATACAAAGGACTGCTGCTCTTAAGACAGATGTCATTGTTATTCCAATCAGGTATCCAGTCATCGATTAACCACCAATTACCTTGTGGGGGCAACCTTTGCCTCCAGCACACCCGAGCTCTAGAGCCTTTGCTCAAGCCTCTGCCTCCTATCTAGAGATGTGTTGCCTCATCTGCTACAGTAATTTCAGCAGGACAAAAAAGATAGCCCAGCATCAGACTCCCAAAATCAAGAATGAAGTCCAAACCTTATGTCATACCTCCYATAACTTTGATAAATTTATTTTTGTTTGTCTTTTTTCCAACATCCACAATCCCTTTAGTTCAGTTTTTCAGTAAAATTCTCCTAATAAGTCATTCTGTAAAGTACTCATACACAGAAAAAGGCAGGGAGTAATTTCTTTAACAATGAGRGGGAAAGAAACCATAAATTTTTCATCTTTTGTTGTCAGTGCATGACACACTGCMTCACTGAGAAGTATTTCATATATGAGAAGCTATTGGTTGAGCATGGAGCAATATGGTMTTATAACAGCCAGCATGTCACTGTTTCATATCCTATCCTGAATTGTGGAAAAGTGATGGGTGCTTTTAAATASTCCTAACAATATTATCCAGAAGAAGGTGGTGCCAGGGTTGGGTAACATGTAAAGCTGCATTACCATCAGGAATCCTAGACTAATTTCCAGGGTAACACCATGGCAAAATAGATGGTTCCATGAGCTCCAAAGACTTGGGAGACTTCAGTTCAATGCTTTGTCCATGCATGTGGAATTAAATATCTTTAGTCTATTTTTTTTTCCAATTTTGTATCTTTAAACTGTATGGAGATASGTTTCACAGGAGCAAAAGGAAGAAGCTAATGGCCTGTTAATGGGCTAGCTTAACACCCTTTCTTCCTCCACCCCTCCCCATATTATCATCTTGATACTTCCTGTACAAAAAGAGGATGTAATTAATGTAATTAGTAAATATTTTGGAAACTAGTTCCCTCTAAAATTTTCAGGACACACCCATTTTAATTTGCTAGGCTCTYGTGTGGTATAATTTTACCTTCTCTCTGTCAGAACAAATTGAGTGCTAGAATCATACAACACACTGCTTTGATAGTTGTGGTTTAGAGATGTGCAATCAACCTTTCTGAAAAAGAAGAACCTTTTCTTAATGTGCATATACACATAGAGAATTATTTCTAAATGGTGACTGATATGCTTTAAAATATGCCTCTATATCACCCTCATTAGGAAGATTTTAAAGGCAACACAAAGCCTGTCAGATGAAGCCTAGGTAGCTTCAGCTGCCAGACTAGGCTGAACAGGATTTTGAACTTGATCTTAGTGTCTGAGGAGCAGCTAAAACATTGCTTCTATAGGGAAGCATTAAACATCAGGCACAGCAGAGTGTTACAAGTAAAGTTTATCAGACCTRCTGGAAGCAAAATAGGTGTACAAGCCCCTTCTATACTGGGAAAACCAGAYCAAGGTCGAACTCCCACACATACACTCTATAAATATTTTAGAATTAAGTTGTAACTGGATTATGGTTTTGTATGTTAAGAGTCTTCTGAATTCTCTCAGGGCGCAAAAACATTTTTTGCTTTCATCCTCTCTTGATCTGCATTGTTCCATTTCTCTTTTGGTACCTCCCTAAAGGAGCTGCTAAGCACCTCGTGCTCTTATAAAGCTCCAGCCCACTTTTAAGAGTGACWACATGGCTATCTTTAAAGCTGAATAAGGTTTYCCCTTAGATGGCTTCTTTGCTAACTGGGCCAACTAAAAGACCAGGTTTTTCTGGATAAGGTTTTTCAGGGTCAAGCTCATTGTTCAAAGGTRTTTGTATAGTCAAACCTATCACATCCCATTTGTTTTTTTACGCTTAGGACAACAACCTCTGGACTGAAGCTATTTCACAAGTCTGGAAAGAACTATCACATTTTTCTCAGACAAACTCCTGAAGMTGTCACACTACTTGGTTTCTATTTGATTAGCATATCCTAAGCTTCCCTTCTCACAGCCTGATAAAAAACTAGCTGTGACTTAATAACTGAGTSTCCCTTTCCATTAGCCAAGCAAGAGCTGTTGTTTGGTCCGTTCTTTCTTCCTGCATTTCCCTGGAGATTTTCCAGCTGCTCAGACTAATGGTAATGATCCCTTCTGCTATCATGAAGCCCAACCAGGAAGGAGGGGACATTCACTCAGTCTGGGAATCCCATTCCCCTACTGACTTTAATGGTGTTGCTATTTCCTTTTTTTTTTTTTTTTAAATTCTTCATCTCTTAAATGAACCCTTTTCTCTTACCTTAATTCCTCTCAAAATGGTTACCTTTTTTTCCCCCATGGGATTACCAGGAAATCAGCTCTTCTGCAGCATGGTAAGCTCTGCTGGTGCTGCTGCCTTCCAGGGAGGGGGGTTCGGCAGCTGCCTTTTGATGGGAAGATAGCACCACAACGACATCTTGCCTGACTTGAGTGCCTGCCTGAATTACTGCCATGGAAAGATCCTGCCCTGATATGACTGGATGGCCCTAAACTATACAGTAGTGCAGGAGCTGCTTTGTTTAATACCAAATACTTGCTGAATGTGTCAAATGTCCCCTGGCACTACCAGCCTGGCTACAGGYTTCTTCTCACCTTGCTGCCAGGGAGCTGCTGCCTGGCTCTGGCACCCTTCACCTCCAGCTGGGAGGAAATGAGCCACCTTCCAGGATCGGTGTGTGGCCAGAGGCCAGATCCTGCCCGAGGAGGGAGGGAGGGGTAGGACCTGCACAGCGGCGCGGCTCTGGAGCGTCTCCAAGAGGAGCAGCAGGTTTGCAGAGACGCCACCCAGCTGGGGAATGCACCTGCCCGGGCAGGAGGTGAGCGCCGCAGCCGGAGCTCGGTGCTGCCGCCGCACCAGGAAGGGGAGCGGGCAGGGGCACCGCACCTGTATCTTGGCAGGAGGAACGGAAGAGATTTTTCCCGTGGACTCCTTCGTTAGTTGGATCCAGTAGAAGGAAAACCAGGAAAAACCACTGGTGTCAGCCGGCAGCAGGGAAGYGTGCTGTGTTGTCGCATGTGGGCAGTGTCTGCCGCAGGTGAGTGATCCTCCTCCCTGGGAGCTGTGCGGGAAGGAACTTCAGCAGTAGCTGCTGGCAGCTTTGTGGCTTCTTCAGACTTGTCAAGAGACCCTGCTTCTCGCCTCCAGTTCTTTTCTTCCTCACGACACTGTTTCCTCTCAGCACCCAAGGCTTGGGAATTTCTTGTTCCTTTGGAAGATCCAGGCCATCCTTGGCAGAGGTGCATCAGGACAGGCTTTGTGGGTTCAGGAGAAAGGATGTCTGTCGTGCACACAGAGAAGAAGGGGAACATGACATTTTATAATGGAGCATGCCAAAACTGTCTAGATCTGTGTAAAAGGCAGCTGTGTGCTGACCCTGCTACAGCAAGCCCTCCACCATCCTTAACCCCACAGCCCCTAGGCTTGGKGAAAGGAAGGGACAGTCCACCATCACCCAGGGCTTCCCTGGGGCTTCCCAAATGGTGTCTTGTGGAAGGAGCACTGGTGGGACAGATCCTCACTTCTGGGAAAGCATTATCCATCTGTCAGGGGAGAGAGGATGGGCTCTCCCCAGAGATGCAGATTAAACTGCACAGGTTTGCATGGATTTTGAACAGCCCAGAAAGAAGGAGCACTGGGAATTGGTGGTGTCTGGTGTGGCGTGCAAAGGAGTGTGGATCTCTTGTTAGGACTTTGGGTGACACAGATAGATGCCATATAAAAGCCCCATTACTCCYATTCCTTGCATGTTCCTCTGTCCCCAGTCCTGAGTTCACAGAGGGAACCTTCCCACGTGCTCCCAGGGCACAGACAGGCCTTGAGCACCATAATGTTCGAAGTTTCTGATTCGTGCACTGGCAGTAATTCAGGCATAAAACAAGATACATGAGCTTCATTCTCTTTGAGCCTATGGGGAGTTAGAATCAAATACGGTTAGGAAGAATTTCTTTGCTGAGAGGGTGGTCAAACACTGGAACACACTTCCTAKAGAACTGGTTGATACCCCAAGCCTGGCAGTATTTAGGAGGCTTTGGGGCAATGCCCARTTGGTCAGSCCTGAATTGGTCAGGCAGTTGAATTAGAAGATCATTTTAGGTCCACTGATATACAATGGAATAGACAGAATACAATAGGCTGGAACAGACAAACTAGAATACAATAGACAGAACAGAATGTACTGCTTCAGTTGGAAAGGACCTACAGCAATTCAGGGCTGAGTCTCTTGATAAAGAAAATCTTCCTATAAATTGAAAGTTGAGCAAATTACATGAAATTATGGGGAAATGTTTGTCTATTCTGGACTAAAGATTTTTGTGAAGCACAGAGTGGTGGCAAGTCCATCCCAAATACCCAAACACCCAAACACCTCTGGACAGACCAGCCCAAAAAAGCAAATAACTTGTGATGGACTGGGAAAGCAGGGGGCTGAGATGGCTTGGATTTGATTGAGATGGTGAAGYTCTGTTGGGTCTCATCCACATTGCTCATACAAATCATTTTATGTATTGTTATCTTACAGTAAATCTTGTTGGACTCTTCCAGTCTCCATGATGCTCACCAAATCCACATAAAAGCTTCATGAAACCCTTCCAAGGCTGCAARTACGAAGAAGTACTGCAGGAGCTTGTCTCATTCCCCTCCTAAACCCTGTGGGTAAGCAATGTCCCAAGAGGTACCCTGGGTTCAGGGARAGGAGGGAAGTGAGGAGTATTTCAAGAGCTGAAATTGTATGTGCCTCGGGAATTAAAGTGTCAATTAACACAGCCATGGCCTGTCTGTTACATATCAGACAGGCATTAGAAGTTTCTAAGTAAATAACTATAAGCATGTATTATTCTGAGGTATTCAGCCAGTGTACATCTCCCACACCTGCAGCCAGGAATGGCCAGAAACTCAGTGAGGATGACCCTCAATTTCCAGTTAAATRTTGTCAGAGTAGGGGAAAAAAAACCCCACACAATGAAAAAGGGAAAACATGAATATTTTTGTTTTCCTGCATTCCCAGGGTTTTCCTGTTCTTCCTCCACAGCTGCCAGCCAGCAGTGGGGAAGGACASCATGTCATTTTTTTCCTGAAATGTGCCCTTTGGACTTAAAGCATTGTGTGGCTGGGCTGGTCCTCTCCTCCTTTTTCTCCTGCACACAGAGATTGGAGCACAGAAGGTCCTGGGTTCAGCAGTGAGTAAATGTGGACATTAATGACCTGTGATCCACACTGTCAAACACACCAGCCTGATGGGCCAAATGGCTTGTTATGGTCTGTCCCAGACCAGTGAGACCTGGTCGCCTGAGGAACACCAGTAGAAAGGCAACAGCTTTGGATGGCTGTTCTCCCTCATTGCAGAGCAGGCATCTCTGTATTCCTTCCTTTCTCTCAATMTGATCTGGGCACACTGATGTGCTGCACAGTGCCAAGAAACCAGAGCAGCAAAGYTGCTGTGAGATCAAGGGTCATCCCTTCTCCAAGGGGTGGTGGGTGACAGCCCAGGATAGGGCTGCTGTGGTTTAACACATAAAGACAGGCAGAGTTTTCTGAAGAGGGTGGGAAGCAATGCACCCAGCCTGAGGAATGAGATTTAAGCTAGATTTGAGGAGGAATGTTTTCATGGTGAGGGTGATTTAACTCTGGAATGAACCCTGAGGGGCTCATCCTCCATCCTTGGCACTTAAATGAATAGGGCCCTGAGCTGCTCAGTCTGACTTTCAGGTGAACTCTGCTTTCAGCAGGTGACTTCAGAAGGTCCCATTTCACCTTAATTATTCTGTGATTCTAAGAGTAAAAATACTGTTATTAGCCAGGCAAATGCTCATGGTCTAGAGAAGCAAGTGTGGATGGTTTGAGAACAAATTATATTCCCAGAGCATTTTCAAACAGGCACAAGGAAACATGAAAGCCCACTTCAGTGGAAGTCTTTGCCTCTCTAAATCATTTGTTAAATAGAGGTTTATGTAACATTGGGAAATACATGCTTGTAGAGGTGATACCTAATTTCGTTCCTCAGCTAGATGTTCCTATGATTTTATTCTGTCCTTCTTCTGAGCAAATAAAAAACTAAAATGGTTAAATTTTAAAAAGTAATGTGAGAATGCAGTGCTGTCGTTTCATTTTTTTGATCACATTTGCCCTCATTGTGGTTTATATTGTTGTGGTTTTTTTGTTTACTGTTTGACTAGCAACTTGTGTGTATAACTTGGGTCAAGCGGCAGGACACAGACTTTGCACTTCTCCAAGCTGCGTGCTCTCTTAGTCCAGAATCTCAATCTAATCTACAAACTTGTTATCTACTAGACTCACCCACTTGCTGGCAAGGAAGAGATAAGGCAYTTGGAGAAGAAAAGGGAGGAGGGAGCAGTGTTTAGCACCAGGCTGATTTGCATAGGCCGAGGAAACAGCTTSAGACTCGATGTCTCCTTGCCCCTCTCTACTTTGAAAGTGCCGTGACATCCTCACCTTCCTGGGCCCTTGTGTCCTGCGCACWCGGGGACAGTGCCAGGTACCTGCAAAATCAGAGCGGGCACAAACCAACATGCTCAGCCACAGCTCTCTTCTCTCTCTACCCGATGCTCTGTGATTACCCTGGCTCTAGCCGGGAGCTGTAGTCCCCCACAGGCGCAGCGAGGCCGGGTTTGTGTGCCGCCACCGTGCAGGCCCGGCCCGTGCGGCTCCGCAAAGCCGCCGCGGTCACGGCTTCCTGCACACGTGCTGCTGCTGGCAGCAGGCCCTGAGCCACGTCCAAGTGACCTCATGCTCCATCACAGCCGGGGAGTGACTCAGGAGGAGCTTGGCCTGACACTGTCAGGCGGTGTCTGGTTCGGGCACTCCCCGCACAATTGTGCTCCCTGTCCCCCGCCCCGTGGGGATGGAGGGGGGTTTGAGGGGTTGGCTGGCAGCAAAGGCATCACCATGAGGGGTGCAGTCTGTGGAGAGAGATGGGAGGGAAGATCCCTGGTGTGTGCAGGGCTGCCAGCCCTGTCACMTTGTGTGGAGGTCACAAATTGTCCCTGCCTGTGTGTAATGAGCCCTGAGCCCAGCGCCCAGCAGGTCACAAAGACAAAAGGAGTGTGTCGGACATGGCCGATGGGGTCCTGAGAGCCATTTCCAGCAGGCACGGTGGAGTGGCTGTCCCCCCACCAGGGAGAAGTGACACGGCTCTGACACAAGGCACTGTGTCGGTCCCTGTTCCTGTCCCTGCCACAGACTCCTGCAGGACTCAGAGCAGGTCGTGTCTGTGCCTGTGGTGGTCAAGGGGGCATTATCCTGTCTAGGAGGCGACCAGAGAGGCTGTTCTTACGTCTCCAGGGTCTGCTCCATATCTCTCAGGGTTCAGCCATATCTGACGTGCTCCTCCCCAGCACCATTCCTTGTTTTGGGTACCAGCTGTTCTAGGGGCTCCCTGTGGTGCTGTGAGACCAGCTGGAGCACTCACATGCCAGGGAGGAACATWATGTGAGAGAAATGCAAGTGATTTCCACTGTTGGTCTACAACTGTACCCAGGGAAGCATTGAGGGGGCTGGAACAGCAGGGAGACGAGCCTGGGAAGCCAGGCTGTGAGCTGAGACTGTGCTGTGCCCAGAGGAGCCCAGCTAAGCACAGCACYTCACAGCCACCACCACTGCCCTTCYCCTGCTCTCCTCCAGTGGCAAAGTTCTTCACAGACCAGCAGGGAGGAGAGCAAAATCTCAGGGTGCCAGGTCACAGCTATCTGAGGGCTCTTYCCAGGGAAGTGCTGAGACCACTGGAGATGCAGCAACCGCATTTCTGTAGGGAACTTGTGAGGGGAAACCACTGACCGAGCTAGGGCAGGGACAGGGCTGAGAATGTACAACTAGAGCAGTTCTCACTCTTCCAGCCACCGGAGTGGAAGGGTTAAACCCCAGTCTTGACCCCCACCTCCCATTCTGGGCAGCAGAGCCAGTTGGTGACAAGAGGCTGATGCTGATGAGGGAGCATGTGAAGCCAGAGCTGTGAATGGGGCTTTATCCCAGGAGGGACCTGCCTCTGCTCGGTCCCTGCCCTGCTGCCAGCACCAGCTGCAGGCAGAGTCCTTCGGGCAGCGATGTGCCAGCAGCCTCTCAGCGGGGCACAGGGCGCTGAGACGGCAGGACACTCGCCCTGGGGGCAGGCTGGAGTTCTCCCACCCCACGTGGAGGTCTCTGGGGAAGACGTGTGGCTGACCTGCTCTCCAACACACGGGACGTTTGTGAGGGAAGCACAGTAAGGTCTGCAGGCCAGCCTGGAGCAGCCCAGGGTTTGGCAGGGGATTGTTTGGCACAGGGGAGCAGRGGCTCTGTTTAATGATCTCTTCTCTTCTTGACTCTTTCAGATGAAAGACACAGGACAGGAAGGACRCAGCCCTGGTTGTTCCCCTGTGGTGCTGCTCTGGGAACGCTCCATCATGTTTCACAGCCCTGCCTGGCTGGTGGGCTTAACCCCAGCACACGGACCATAGCTCTGCAGGTGGCACCGCTGCAGAGGAAACTCCATCAGGATCCAAAGCATGAGACTGAGACATGCCTGCTGGAGAAATGCAGCTGACTTCACCACYACTGCTGCCTTGACCCTCCATTTGCTGTAAGGCTCTAAATTCATCGGTGCCACCACTGTGCCCTCCTCAGCCAGCTGCCCACCATGCCAGAGCTGGCCGAGCTGAGCAGTCCTCGCACACCTGCGGATGCAGATCACATCCAGAGGAATATCTTGGAAGAGCACGTGGAGCTCTGGTGGTTCCAGGACCCCAAAAAGTCCATCCTGTGTTATGGGATGGCTGTGGTKCTGATCCTGGCCTGCGGGATCGGGGGCATCATCCTGCTGTACAGCACCAGCAGCCGCTCYGGAGAGTGGCGGCTCGCTGTGGGCACCACGCTCTGCCTCCTGGCCCTGCTGGTGCTGCTGAAGCAGCTGCTGAGCTCYGCAATCCAGGACATGAACTGCATCCGCAGCCGGGATCAGATCGAGCTCCTGAAGAGCGGCGGCTTCTCGGACTGCCTGGTGCTGCTGCTGAGYGCCCTGGTGCTGCTGGTCTGCGGGGTGGTGCTCACCGTGCTCTCCACCACCACCATGCAGCTCAGCCCCGCACGGCCGCTGGCCAGCATGTTCACCAGCGGGGTCATCCTGCTGACCGCTGGCAGCGCCATCCTCCTGTGCCTGCTGCTATACCTGCTCTGCACCTCCTGCCGCCGGGCYGCTCCTCGGAGCCTGGAGACCGGCGAGATCCGCGTCTTCACCATCTCCGGCCGCCTCGCTGGAAACAGGCGGCTCCCTCCCACCTCCAGCATGGCCAACCTGATCTGACCCAGGACACCGCTGCCTGAGCCTCAGTGGATACAACCTGTCAGGGATGGTCTTTCCCCAAGGAAGGGAGAGAGCTGYAGTGTGCCTTGTGTTTCTGTTGGAGATGACTGGCATTTGGTTTGCCCCAGGCTGGTGGCACAGCAGAGACTCGGGGTGCCTGGGCAGGCTGTGACCTGGTGTATGGATGTGACCAGTGCTGTCCTGGATGGCATTTTATGCCCACAAAGTCTCCTGTGGCAGCTGCTGCCTGCCCGGCTGTGACCCATGTTACAAAGTGAAGGTGAGCCTGTCCTGGACCCCTGGGGACCCCAGTGCTTGGTTCCTGCAGTTCCTGGCATTGTGTTGCACGCTGTCCTGGCAGGAGAGGCTGTGATTGTGGCTGGTATGAAACCAACCTGCACTCTGTACAGAGCCTCCAGCTCCTGAGTGATGTAGAGCCTCTCGCAGCTGGTGCATGGCAGAAAATAATCTGCATGTCAGCAGGCATGAGTGAACCTGGTGGGAGGGATGGCTRCAAGGGCTGCTCCCCAGAAATCACCTGTGTGTCTGGGAGTGAGTGTGGGATTTGCACAGTATTATGTGTGCCAGAGCCACAGCATGGCTGGACCTCACATGAAATGCTGCTTGTGTTTGCAATGCCAGGATTGCCCATGTTACATTTCTGTAACACCTGTGGTTTATCAAAGGGGCCATCAAGGAGTGTTGGTGTCCAGGCCCTGATGGGTTATCTGTCCTGCACTGAGTGCTGGGGCTCTGTTTCATGCCAGGGTGCCCCAGCCATGTSAGCCACAAACAGCAAGGTGCAGTCGCTGAGGGATGGTGATGGGATGCCCGAATCCTGGGGCTGCTCTCTGCAAAAGAGAGCAAAAGGGAGCCCTGTGGCCTCCACAGGAGTTTCCCAGKCAGAGGCAACTCTGCTGCCAGGAGCCCTGCAGCTCATGCCAGTCCCTGCTTGCTCCCATGCTGTTTCTGTCTGCAAGTGCTGCAGCTGCTGCAGGRCAGAAAGTTCTGCTGTCATTTGGCCTTACCTGGAGCTGTTTTGGTGTTTTATCTCTACAAGGTGTCTTGTTTTATCACCAAGGTGTCTCTTCCAGAGGCAGACTAACAATCCACTCTCTGAACTTTTCCTGTCACTTAAGGCTGTGTCAAAATTCTTACTTCCTTCATAGACCCACTAACCCTTTCACTGCCCTTTCCAGAGACACAGATCCCAACCTCCTGCTGAAGATGCTCCTGCATGATCTCCTCTTAACCCAGTTGTTCAGAGCATGGTGCTAATAACACAGGATCATGGGTTTGAAGTCCATATGGGCCATTCCCTTAAGAGTTGGACTCTGATCCTTCTGGGTCTCTTCCAGCTCAGATGATTCTGTGATTCTGTGATTCTGTGATTCTTCATCTTCCTGTCTGCTCCCATCTCTCGCTCACCTGAGCTACTCTCTCCCAGATGCTGGTTTGCACATTACTTGCCAAGTTTCCTCTGCAATGGAAAAAGAATGAGCTATTATTTTTTGGTTCTTGGTAGCAAATTCATTTGGAGGAGGATGGTAGCTCATTCCCTTGCTAACAGCACAAATCACTGTCCTGTTACACCTGGAGACAGTGTCAGAGTTCACCACCAGTGAATTCACTCACCAGTGAGCCCCCCCCAGGTATATGCTGGGCAGGTATATGAGGGCTTCATCGCTTCACAGCTCAAGAACAACTGTCCCCAATGCAGTGRGATCTCATGAGATCACATCTGTAGTCACCTGCTCTTGCCATGCTCCTGTTGAATTTTCTTTATCTGAAGCCTTGGATTATTTCCCCCAAAGTACAGGTACATCGTTTGGGCTTTTCTCTCTGTATCTCTGTTATTTCTACATGTTCCTCTGCCACTTTCACATAATCTGTAGATTTGTTTCAACTGCTGTTTTCTCTTCTCTCTGCATCTCCTCCCTTAATCTGCCCAAGAGCTCAGAATATGCTGGTGAGCTCAGATCTTCCTGGCTAAATCTCTTCAAAGCAGAGCTGTTCCTCCCCTCTGGGCAGTTTGGCCCCAGGTCCAGCAGAAATCCCTGTGTGTACACAGGAGGGGACAGGGCAGAGCTGAATGGTTTTGCACCATGACYGCTGCTGCTGCTCCAAACATCTGTGTCAGTGTATGTGCAGTTATGCCAGGCTGCACCCCCTGTGCCAGCCCCAGAGCTCCAGCAGTGCCTGCCAGCTCCCCCAGCCCGCACGTGCAACAGGCCACAGCTGCCTGTACGCCAGCTGTTTTGCACATCTGGGCATTTCTGTGAAGATGCGTGACTGTGCCCAGCTCGYAGCTTCCTGCTGCTTGCATGTCAATGTGAATCCTGTCCCCTCCACAGCCCCTTCAAAATGTGTCCCAAGTGCCTGTGAATTGTGCCTCAAAAGGGTGATTGACTGTGGCCACCCCAACAACCCAAGGAGATAATGGCTGAGAATAGGCTGTGCCTGAAGGTGGTGGTTGGGAGCCCAGCTGCCCAGAAGGACAGCCTGTGCTGCCCAATCACTGACTGCCCTCTGCAGCACAGCTACTAATTTGTTCCTTGGTTCCTGTGTTGTATGTGGAAATACATAATAAAGTGTTAGAGAAGTTGATTGTGTTGAAGGCTGATACTTGAGCACATACCTTTCTGCAGAGCAGGAAGTGTCAGGGCTTTGCAGAGCTGGCCTAGCCCAGGGCAGCAATCACAACAGCCCACAGTCCCTCAGGTGGCTGTGGTTTTGGATCACCGGCTAATGTGGCAATGCCACCACAGCCCCAAAAATGCATGTACTTCTTTCCTGATACACAACTCCCACCTCCAGATATGTGTTAATCTCCCTCTGCTTAAGAACCCAGACAAATCCAGATCCCCTTACCACTGCTCTGTGAACCTGAGACCTGGCTGTGACCCTGAAAGATGCTCATATGGAGAACACGAAGCCTCCTGAATGTGTCGGTGCTGGCTGATTTGTTTACAGAGAAGCTGTTTCACCCTGTGGCAGCACTGAGCCCCACAGCAGCAGCTGCTGCCTGACACTGCAGGAACCAGTCTGCCTGCATACCTGCTCCTGGTCCCCACCAGCCTCTGCCAGGTCCTCACCGCAGCTTCCTGGGTGGACCCCCTGCAGAAGGATCCTCCTCTTCTGCCCTGACTCCTTGTATTCCCAGCTCAGCATGCTGGAGTTATTTCCCCCACATGAGTCGCCAGGCTCGTGCCCACTTGCGCTGCAGCTGCCTGGGAGAGGGGGAAGAAAAATAACACACACATTCACAAGAAAGCCTGCCACGTCTGCTTGGTTAAAAAATAAATGGRTGGGCCTCTCAGTAGGGTCAAAGTAGACAAGCCATCCAGCTTGCTGAGGGATTGGTGAGTGAGATCCTGGACAAATAAGCCTGGGCAACTGCATTTTTAATCTCTTCTAAGGCATCACCYAGACTAAAAAGAAAAGACTGCATCTAGCATGGATTAATGTGATTGAAAAGCATGTTGATAAGCCCAAAACATACCCTCCAAAAGATAACTGAAATGCATTTTCCCAGCCCTCAAATTTAAATTTCTCTTACCCAAAAGATATTAGAGATTTTCAAAAATTACAGTATATAGTGTATTTTCATGGGTAGCTGATGAGCCTGGAGGGCAAACCATGAGACAGTAACTAAAAAAATAAAGTTCCATTTAGAAATATGGCATTTAAGAGCAAAAGCTYGCTGACCACTGAAAGAAGCCAGCAGGTTTTCCTCCTCCGCATGGCTTCAAGTGGTGCATTTGCTCTCTGGCCTGTGTCACCCATCCAATGCCTGACCCATCTGTCCTCTTTGGTTTACATTCTCTGAGGTGTATTATTTACTTTTTTATACACTGTAAATGCTTCAATGAGTGGAGAAATAGAAAGGCAGTTAACAGTGAAATAGAGATTGGAAGGAGGTGGGGGAATCMGCTGGGTGGCAGAGCTTTGAGAAATGTTGTCCTGTGTTGATACCTCATGCTCTGGAGCATGAGGAAGAGACTCCCAAGCTATCAGGGATGGTAATGACTGGGCTGTGCCCTGGGAAATCTTCCCAACCAGGTTKGTAGCAGCCTTATGAATCATGTACTAAAGGTGAATGCCACTGCTGCTCCCTGCTTTTAACTCCAGCGTAACCCATGAAGGCGCAACTGACTCCAGCAGAAATAACTTGCAGTTACCTRTGGCTCATGTGCTGTTCATGGTACCACAAAGATGACAGGAATGTAAAAATTATTACATTTGTACAACTCCACAGTTAAAGAGACGTGGGAATGGCTCTGTAATGGCTGCTGGGGGAGAAGGTTGCTTTGCCCCAGTGAATGTGCCTGGCACTGCAACTGGCACCACTGATGAGTTTGCTCAGCTCTGCAGAGCTGACAGGAAAGGTAAGGATCTTTCAGCTTTTCTTCCTGGAGAGRGAAGAGAGGAAAGAAGGAAGGGCTGTGGTGGGACCCAGTGCTGGAGAGACATGCACAGAAACTCTGATGATGCACCAGGGCTGCCTGCACCACAGCAGGTGAAAGATTTGTTTGGACAAGAGCACATATTGTTCTCTCACCACCACAGTTAGAGGAATGTATTAATGATCATTGGAAGCACATGTAAAAAAGCCACAGCCCAGCTGTGAGGCTGGGGTCTCCTCCTGGGCACTGCCACTGGGCRATTCCCAACAAACCACTGCAGGCACAGGCAGGGCCAAATCACGCTTTAATCACACTTTGGAGTGATAATGCACTGAGGGTCAGAGCAGGGCTGGGTCTGGCACCATGGGGCACAGGGGCCAGCACCCAAGACCAGGGCAGGCTCTTCTTCCCACTGTCCCCARGCTTCCCAGGCGCAAGGGGCACCACCTCCTTTATCCTCAGCATCCGAGTAAGGCCGGGAAAGCAGCAGCTGGTTTGGTGTCCTTGTGACAGCACRGACTACTGGTGTCATGCTGGGACACTCTGGGACCAGCTGCCTTCAGTCTCCATCACCATTCCCAGCCCATCCCTCTCTGCCCTCTTCTCTGCTCCTTTCTTCCTGYCCCCAAAGACGTGGGGCCAAAAGCCAAGGGCAGGTAGGAAGGGGGTGGAGCTCGGGAGACAGCAAGAGGCTGCAGCAGTGGTGRCTGAGTTCTAAGCTCGTAAGTTCAGATGGAGCGATGCAATTCTCRCTCCGCTTTTGCTGGCAGCTGCTCGCTGGGCTGGATGTAGTTGTCCTCGATGAAGCCATCATCATCCTCAGCTTGCAGGTCGGCAACATCAGGTATGGAATCTCTCCCATAGGAGCCCCTGTCCCAACTGCTGCTATCCTCCAGGGGGCTGCCTCCGATGGAGCTGATTTCAGGCAGTGGCCGGTGGCGGTAGCTGGCAAAGTTCTTGTGGGCGAGCTTGCACTTGGCAGCCAGCGCGATCAGGATGGAGATGCCGATGGCTGTCGCTAGGAATCCCACCAGGTATGGCCAGCTTCTTCCTGCCTTCCCGGCAGGCAGTGCAGTGGCTGTAGCACAGGAAAGGCACATGGTCAGCCTGTGGCACACCCAGCGCTCCCCATCCTCCAACCCTGTGCCTGCCGGCAGTGTGCAGCAAGCACCGGATCACTTTCGTTAGGAGCAACAGAAATGCTCTTCACCAAGAGCCAGCTACCAAGGAGTGTGAAAACTGAGGGCAAAACTGCCTGACAGCTGGCTGGCACTGCTGCCCATCACTGCAGAGGCTGTGCTCCATGTTGCCTTGTGGCACCTGCTAACTTTCCGGTCACAAGGCCTGAAAGCCACAAAGCCATGCTCCCACCAAGCCACTGCACCAGTGTGGTCAGGCAGCCCAAGCCTCTGGGACTGTGGGGCAGAGCAGGGGGTCTCCATCTGTGGCCCCACCCAGTATGATGGAGGACAGGAAGACACTAGACCTTACGGACACCTCTGATTCTGCACAACTTACTGCTGTTCTCGGTCACGGTGATTTGCTGTGTCGTGCTGACATCACGAACAAATCGCTGCTTAGTCTGGCAGCCCAGGTCCTGAGAATCCAGAGCTGCAATCTCCTGGCCCCTCAGTCCTGGGGGCGACACGCAGGTCACCTGCACAGCTGGGAGACAAATGGGCAAGATGGGATGGGGGCCTGCACTCGTCCCCTCTCCAGTTTAGTGAAGATGAYCCCCACTTGTTCCTGGGTTGATGGGATGCATTGCAAGGTGCTCCCTGCTCTGCCTTACAGCCCTCTAGCTCTCAGTGAAGGAACAACCAAAGGAAAAATTTCCTGACCAAGGAACTATGTGTGACTCTGATTAGCAGGCTCCTTTTAACTGGATACAGACAAATTTATGGATGCCCAKAGAAACCCCACTGCTCTTACTGGGAGCCAAGTTCAGATGGTTGAAGCCTGAACTGACTCCAGAGGAGGAGTTGCCAAGCCCTCAGCAGTGAAAATGGGCTCACTCCACAAAGACATGTAAAAGTGGATTTAGGGGCCAAAGTGTACRTGCAACCCATTTCCCAGAAGAGTTAAACTGGTGGCTAAATTATCCTGCTGACATTCTTAGAAATTCTTCGTATCCTGGGTAACTGCAAGCTAGGAACAGACACATCACCTCAATAGGGTAGGACAAGTCYCTGGAGAGCCATCTCAGAATATGTTCAGGGGTCAGAGCAAAAGGATCAAGCAGGACTCCTACACTCGGGGYTCCCCCTGCCCAACACATCCCCTGCCACCCATCCCCTCTGCTCACCTCGCCTGCGCTGCAGCCACTGCTGCAGAGGGTGCACGCTGCAGTYGCAGACCCAGGGGTTCCCTTCCAGAAGGACCTGCGGGACTGTCTCCATCAGCTGAAGGCTCCAGGTGTCCACAGAGACCAGAGCATTGTGCTGCAGGTCCAGGYGGAAAAGAGCCTTCAATGGCAAAAGGAAGGGGACATCAAGCTCTTGCAAGCTGTTGTTTCTCAGGAGCAGTGTGTGCAAGTTTCCCAGGCCCGTGAAAGCGTCCATGTGGATGTAGGTGATGCCGCAGCTGCTCAGGTCCAGCAGACGCAGTGCCCCAAGGTTGGAGAAGGCTGCTGGGCTCAGCGTGAGCTTGGCATTACTGGAAAGGTTGAGAGAATGCAGAGAAGGGAAATGCTTCAAGAGAGTCCTGTGACGGGGCATGACCAAGGAGTTGAAGGAGAGATCCAAACTAGTGATGTTTCTTGGAAGAGAACTTGGAGCATGCTGAAGGCTCTTCCCRCTGCAGTCGGCCCATCCCTGGGAAAAGAGCTACTGTGTGAGATGGGCTGTCCACGATAGGGAGTGTCTCTAGAGAGAGACTCCCCAAGGGTTCAAATATCTTAATTAATTACCCTTGCAGAGTTTTAAAAAACCAAAGATGCACACAAGTTTAAAAAATACATGAGCTTCCAGATTGATATGGGCCTGGGCAAAAGGAAAAAGATGAGCAGGACAGCCCATGACTGAGAGSAGCTGACTGAAGGAGTAAAGGAGGMACATGCAGGGCTRGGGGAWAAACCCAAACGGATGAGGTGGRTGMAAAGGGAGCAGGTTGTCACCCCCCTGTCCTTCCTTACAGGGCAGTTGTCATGCRGGGTCAGTTTGCAGAGGGCCTTCCTTTTCCTCCCCTGGATCCCCACCTCCAGCCCCCTGGGAGCTCTTGTGTGACACAAGGCCATCCTCCCAGCTGCAGCAGGGAAGCCACCGAACCCTGCTTGTTGCAAGGACAGGCAGAAAGCTGACCGGGCTGCAGAGCTGTAGGYACCTGCACCAGGCACCAGGAGCAGCTCCCTGGGGCCTGTGCAGGACAGTGCACCCATGCTTCTATCTGTCCCACATTCCTGGGGATACACAGTGAGTAGCTGTGGCTTACTGCAGGCTGGCTATGTTAGTATTAGGAAACAAAACAGACCAGTGACTGCTCACTGTCCCAAAAGACCAGCAGTGCAGGATGGAGGGATCAATCAACACACACAGATGGATTTTTTTTTTTACCAGTAAAACAGGGTGCCCCAACTCAAGCTAGTTTTGGGGAGCAGTCCCCAGCAGGAGTTRCTCCTTCCTGGGCTTTAAGTGGAAGGGGGGCCAAACTGAAGCGGTCAGCAATTCAGTTTTGGTTGGACAGGCACAAGCTCCTGCTCAGGGCCATGTTTGGACCTTGCAAGCAGAGATGCTGTGCTGGAAGTTTACTGTGGTCCAYAGTCCTGGGTTTCTGTGCCTGGCTGCATTCCAGCTAGCTGGGCTTTCCATTGTTTTCACTTCTCCTTTCATCCTCCTGTCACCTAAATCTCTTATTAGACCCTGCTGTTCCTGCTTGGTAGAGGAACAGATATAACCTCAAAAACCTGGGATGCTGAGGACTGGGTATAAGGGAACCAAACCACAGGAGCACCATACGGGTCCTGTCTCCAGCTCAAACACAGCTGGGCTCAGGGAGGCTTTGGAAAACAGTGCAAACCTTTTGGTGGAATATCTGAGAGCTCAGTGGAAAGGTCAGTGGCCCATGACAGCCACTTTTCCTTCATTCTCTCAGCTCCTGCCGGATGCAGCCAAGCTGCTGGCTGCAGCACTTGTCCCAGTGGGATGGATTAGTTGTGTTTCCTGTTCATTGCCAGATGCTCAGGGATCCTGGCCCCACGCTTGCTATCACCCTGGCTGCAGTCACTGCATCACCATGCATTGGGGAAGGGAGTGAGGGGCTGGGAGTTCCTCAGGGATGTGTCTCATGGCTGCTTGCCATGCACCTCTTATGGGCATCTGTGTTACAGCTGCAGCCAAGAGACCCCACAGTCAGAAATGCGATGGCTCAGAYGATGCTTTGTCAGGCCATTCTCTGGTGAGCAGGCTGGACAGCATGACGTGTTCAGCCCAAGGCTGGGAGCAGGGGTGCTGCAGGGCTGGGAGCAGGACAGCCAGGCTTTGGGCATGGGTGAACCGCCCTGTGGCTGGTGGCCATTGGCACAACACATCTCCCAATTAACTCCACTGGCTCCCATGGGTTTTCATCACTTGTCTTCTCTTGAGCTGCGTACGGCAGGGGCTGTCTGACAGGCCCKGCTGCCCCCGGACACCCCAGCTGTGCTGGTAGAGCCAGGAGCGGGGGTCCCTGCCCACCCCCAGCCGCTGCCCCCCGCGGCCCCCCTACCTGGTGGTCGAGGCTGCAGGGGTGTCCCATCACCACTGACCAGACGCAGAGAAGGCTACAAATTCCGCAGAGTAGGCAGGTAGGAGCCATTTGGCTCCAGGAAACTTCCGGGCAGAAAAACAAGTCTCGGGGAAAGCTGGGAAGCCGGCAGAGCCGGCCGTGCCGGGCGAGGTGTGGCCGCGGCCGCACGGCTCAGGCCGGCACCGAGTCCCCGCACGCCGGCCCYGCAGACAGCAGAGCCCGGGATCCGGCCCGGCTGCGCCCCGGCCCCGCTCCGCCCGACCCGGTGAAAGGTGGCGGTGCMGGTTACACATTAACAGCCGCGCCCCACCACCTCCCACCCGTGTGGCAGCCCGTGATCGCTGACCAGGGGACAATCGGCATCTGCCTGCTGCACTGTGGGGGGCTGTGGGGGCTGCCCGGGTGGCTGCAGGACACTGGGAGGTGCTGGGGGGCCTCCAGAGGAGGAGGAGGAGGAGGCACCTCTGTGGCACCTGCCCTGAGAATCCACACCTGAGGAGAGCAGCCTGAGCCTGGTCCGGGTGTTGGTCCACGCTCCTGGAGCAGGGGCACACAGCCAGCCCTGGCCAGGGAAGCTGGGGGTGCGGCAGCAGGAAAGTGTCCTACAGGACAGTAAAAGTCTTGCTGGGTTTCCAGCCGAAAGGTGTTTAAAACGTGCAGCAAACTAGCAGATCTCCGGGTCCAGCAGCAGCAGCTCAGTAAGCAGCAGCTGTCTGTGAAGGTCTCAAAGGATGGGAGTGCCCCACCACCACCTTCAGCACCCCCATTCAGACCTGTCACTTCTCAGTAGTGCTCCCTGCCAGCCTTGCCGTGGAGTCAGTGAGTGTCTGAGAAATCATGTCAAAGCAGCATCTCGTGGGTGAGACCTGCTCCTGTGCCCACGGGTGATGGGGCAGGTGAGTGGGCAAGGCTGGCAGAGCCACAGCCCAGGCAGGGAAAGTGCTGGCTGCACCTGCCCCTGCCGTTGCCTCTGCAGCAAGAGGGAGCCCCAAGCTCTCTTCYCTGCTCCCCATTCCTGTGTCCCACACCTGCTCAGAAGCCGATTGGCAGCACAAGCACTTTGGAGCTGTGGGCAACTGGRACAAGGTGGCCCCTCTTCCCCCAGCTGACAAAGGATCCCTCCACAGCCACATGTCCCACCCTTTCCTCAGGGAAAGGGCTTCCCAGCAGCCTGTCCTTCATCCTGTGGGCGTGTGCTGGATGCCAACACAGCCAGGCAGCTCCTGCTTCCCAGCTGCCCAGGCGGGCTGCAGATGCTCCACCGCCCCACTTCCAGGATGTTCCTATGCCTGGCAGRAGCAGCCCTTAGCCCAGCTTTGCAGGGCCTCCCCAGGACCCTGGATGTGAATCAAAACAAGCATCCAGAGAARTGGGGCTAGAAAATGTTGCTGAGGCAGCCCAATCCATTGGTGGAGTTGCAGGGCGTTTGCATTTCCTATCAGGAAATGTATCTGTGCATTATGGTTTCTGGCATGCGCTGCTGTGCATTAGAACGTGCAAATGATAACAAAAAGTGGTATTTTTGTCAGTCTTTGTTGTTCTCGGTTTTTTTTTTTAGTCTGTTGTGATTCAGCAAAAAAAGCTGAGGTCTGTGAAATCATCAGATATTCAGGTACTTGGGCAACTGGAGTTTTCCACGTTGCAGGAGAGCAAGCGTGGGGAGCTGCTTTGGCTGTGCTCATTTGTACCTATCTCTGCTGCCTCCTCTGGAGATAGATAAGCTTAAACTGGAACTATAGGATCCTGGCTGGGCATCTCCACAAAACTCCCCAGAGAGGATTCCTACCCTATCTCCTGCCAAAGGAATATGCACAGATAGACAGTAAAGCTATTATCCAGGTGCTCTTAGAAAAAACACAAGCAGAAAAATCAGGTTGGGTCAGATTCCTCAATGGATCCCTTGGATCTCCTGGGTATGACCTGGCACAGAGAATAATTCTGTATGGCTCCCATTGTGCAAAAATTCTGTGTAAATAATCCCATCCTCAAACAGATCCTGCTGAAAGAGGACATTTCACTGAGCCCTGTAACTCAGGCTCTGTGTGATGTGCTCCCCCACAGCTGCCAGGGGAGCACAGAACCAGTTGTACATACAAGCAATATGATAGCAGTTACAGTTCTGAGCCTGACTGACCTCTGCTCTACAGGCAGCTTCATTTTACAGTCAAATGGGGGAAGTTACACCTGGTGTCCACCTTTTTAAGATCCTCTCCATCCCTGCTGCCCTGTGGTGGCTGGGTGGCCACACGGTGAAAGCCTCTGCTCACTGCCATCCCTCCCTCAGCGTGCCACGGGCACCGCGCGGCCCCAGAGCGCTCTGTAAATAGTCGGAAGCGATGAATGGATTTCCCTTTCCTCCCCATGTGTGCTTTAGATTTTAGGCCGGATACAGCATGGGCTCAGGACACATCAAAACATGAGACTCACTCCCTGGCAGCCCTGGCTTTCACATGGGAACAGTTTGATTTGTAAGGCAGTGTGAGGTTTGGTGCGTGAAGCTTATGGTGATTTCCCAGGGAACACTTTTTGTTTGCCAGGCTGCTGTGGCTGGCACATCCTCCCTGGAATGCTGGGGTGAGCCCCTCCGGGGCTGGGTTGCAGCAAGGCCACACTGTGTCGTGCCCACACCGACACTGGGCATAGGAAAGTGCCCGGGGAGAGCCAGGCTTTCTCCTGCTTCCACTTCCCCCCAGACATGTTCACCACAACACAATGGATTTCTCCCCAGTGCAGTGGCTGCCCTCCCGTGTGGGCTGGGCAGTTTTTTGCCGCCCTGCCTGTGCTCCCACTCAGGCCTTTCACCCCCGCGATGGCCCCTGCAGGCTGAGTCCAGCCGTGGCACCACACGGAGCCGGGTG